ATTAAAAAAAAACAAAAACTGAAAGGTCATTAGTAACCTCCTAGAAGCAAAATCCAATAGACTTCTCAGTCCAACCCTTCCCTGACTTCTTAGCCAATTTGATATCTCCTTCCTCCTGGTTTCCCAGGGCCCTCTCCCTCTTAGATCATTCACCATCTCTACCAGGTGGACATCACACCTGACTGGCTCCACAATATGATGCGGTCTCTGGAATCTGTACCTCCAGCCTCAGCCTCTGTCTTGAGGGCCAAACATGAATCTCCAGCTGCCCACTAATCCACCTGGCTGCCCCACAGCAGTTCAGAGTTAACACATCCAAAAACAAACTCATCATTTTCCCTCCTTGGATGAGTGTCACCAGGCAGTGAGTCACCAAGTTACAGATGAGGAAGTCATTCTAGATGCATTCCTTCAACAAACATTTATTAAGTGCCTATTACATGTCAAGCACTGACACCGAATACAAGAGACAAAACTCCCCACCCTTGTGGAGATTATGAATGTTAAGCAGAGACAAACAATAAAAACAAGAAAATGGCTTTGCACAGTGGCTCGTGCCTATAATCCCAGCACTCCGGGAGGCTGAGGCGGGCGGATAACGAGGTCAGATCGAGACCATCCTGGCTAACAGGGTGAAACCCTGTCCCTACTAAAAATACAAAAAATTCAGCTACTCAGGAGGCTGAGGCAGGAGAATTGCCTGAACCCAGGAGGCAGAGGTTTCGGTGCACCGAGATCGCGCCATTGCACTCCAGCCTGGGTAACAAGAGCGAAACTCCGTCTCAAAAAAAAAAAAAAAAATTATCTGGGCATGGTGGCATGTGCCTGTAATCCCCCAGCTACTTGGGAGGCTGAGGCAGGAAAATCGCTTGAACCCAGGAGGGGAGGCTGCAGTGAGCAGAGATAGCGCCGCTACACTCCAACCTGGGCAACAAAGCGAGACTCCATCTCGAAAAAAAAAGAAAAAAGAAAATGATTAAAATAATACAGTATTGGCTGGGCACAGTGGCTCACACCTATAATCCCAGCACTTTGGGAGGCTGAGGCAGGCAGATCACTTGAGGTCAGGAGGTCGAGACCAGCCTGGCCAACATGGTAAAATACCCTCTCTATTAAAAATACAAAAATTAGCTGGGCATGGTAGTGCATGCCTGTAGTCCCAACTACTTGGAATGCTGAGGCAGGAGAATCGCTTGAACCCAGGAGGCGAAGGTTGCACTGAGCCGAGATCGTGTCACTGCAAGACAGAGCAAGACTCCATCTCAAAAAATAATAATAATATGGTATTTTAGATAGTGAGGAGTGCTAAGGAGAAAAATCAGGCAGGGCAGAGGCTAAGGAGTATGTGCTGACGTGAGGAAATGCTAAGCACTTGAAGAGTGGGTTTGCGCCTGGAAGTGCTTGCGTAGGGCCAGAGCAGGAAGATGGAAAGAGGGCGGGGTGCTCAGAGGACACTGACAAAAGCTTTAACAGAGGAGTGACAATGACCTGACTCAGGTTTCACAGGATCATTCTGCGAGAGTCCTCCCTGCAGCTCCTCACTTACCCCAATCCAGTCAGTCCCAAACCAGGTCCACTGTAACCCTCACAGCCCAGCCCCTGCCCCTCATCTAGCTTCTCTGTTCCTTCTGTCACCGCCCTAATTCTGAGGCTTGCAGTCCTCAGTTGGGGTTAATGGCTTCCTAATTAATCTCATCCCAGTTCACAGCACCTGCCCCACCACTGCCTCTGCTGTTTCTCAAGTGTCACCTGGCTCCTTAGAATCTGCCAACCCTCCTTCGTGAACCTCAGAATGAAAGCAGCCTTTTAAGGAGTCATTCAAGGCCCTTCCTAACCTCATCTTTCCACTCACCCCTGCGCCCCCTTCCCAACATGCCCCTCTACGGCAGCACGACCCCCGGATGTACAGCCTCCAAACAGGACCCAAAATCCCAATCCCACCCCCTGGCCCCCTGACACTAGCTGATTTATACTTTTCTTCTGCAAAGAATCACCTCTTCAGTGCCCTCATCACAGCCTTTAGCCTGGTCTGTGGTACCTGTCCAGGCCAGCCTGGGAGCTCGGACAGCAGCCTTTTTTTTTTTTTTTTTTTTTTTTTTGAGACAGAGTCTCACTCTTTTGCCCAGGCTGGAGTGCAACAGCGTGATCTCAGTTCAATGCAACCTCCACTGCCGCCTCCACCACTCGAGTTCAAGCGATTCTCCTGCCCCAGCCTATCAAGCAGTTGGGATTATAGGTACGTACCACCACACCCAGCTAATTTTTATATTTTTAGTAAAGACGGGGTTTCGGCCAGGCATGGTGGCTCACGCCAACCCAAGCACTTCGGAGGCCAAGCTGGGCGGATCACCTGAGGTCAGGAGTTTGAGACCAGCCTGACCAACATGGTGAAACCTGTCTTAAAAAAAAAAAAAAGATGGGGTTTCATCATGATGGCCAGGCTGGTCTCAAACTCCTGACCTCAGGTGATCCGCCCAGCTTGGCCTCCGAAGTGCTTGGGTTACAGGCGTGAGCCACCATGCCCGGCCAAGAGCGGCTCTTTCATCAACATAGCGTTGACTACTCTACACAGCACCTGTCATTCAGTTGGTTCCCAACAGACATTAACAACAGTATTTGCAATCTTAATTTGCTTGTCATTTTTATTCTATGCCCTGAAATTTGACATTTAAATCTTCCCAAATACTCTCGTTTGAGTGTATTATTGATCACTTGTTTGTTAAATAAAATACTGGTTTCAGGCCAGGCACAATGGCTCACACCTGTAATCCCAGCACACTGGAAGGCTGAGGCAGATGGATCACCTGAGGTCAAGAGTTCGAGACCAGCCTGGCCAACCCGTCTCTACTAAAAATACAAAAAATTAGCCAGGTGTGATGATGGGTGCCTGCAATCCCAGCTAGTAGGGGACCTGAGGCAGGAGAATCACTTGAACCCAGGAGGCAGAGATGGCAGTGAGTGGAGATCAAGTCATTGCACTCCAGCCTGAGTGACAGAGGGAGACTCATCTCTAAATAAATACATACACACATACATAGATAGTGCTTTCTTTTTTCTTTTGAGACAAAGTTTCCCTCTTGTTACCCAGGCTGGAGTGCAATGGCGCCATCTAGGCTCACCGAAACCTCCGCCTCCTGGGTTCAGGCAATTCTCCTCCCTCAGCCTCCTGAGTAGCTGGGATTACAGGCACGCACCACCGTGCCCAACTAATTTTTTGTATTTTTAGTAGAGATGAGGTTTCACCATGTTGACCAGGATGGTCTCGATCTCTTGACCTCGTGATCCACCCGCCTCGGCCCCCCAAAGTGCTGGAATTAAAGGCGTGAGCCACCGCACCCGGCCCATCTGCTTTCTAACATTCCACTTACCTACTGTTTCCAAGTTATACTAATCCTACATTTCATCTGACTTTTTTCTAGTCTAGTTTTCCTTTTAGATAAGTATGTTTTAAGATAGTTTATGGCCCTATACAGAAAGTGACACATTGACTTTTTTCCAACATTGAGAAACATGCTTAAGAATGTATAAACAGGCTGGGCAAGGTGGCTCATGCCTGTAACCCCAACACTTTGGGAGGCCAAGGTGGGTGGATCACTTGAGGTCAGGAGTTTGAGACCAGCCTGACCAAAATAGAGATACCCCATCTCTACTAAATATACAAAATTAGCCGGGCATGGTGGCACATGCTTGCAATGCTAGCTACTCAGGAGGCTGAGGCAGGAGAATCGCTTGAACTTGGAAGGCAGAAGTTGTGGTGAGTCGAGATCACGCCATGGCACTCCAGCCTGAGCTACAAGAGTAAAGCTCTGTCTCAAAAATGTATAAATTTAAATGACTGTAGTTTTTTGTTATGAAATAGTTAAGACACTGTGCGCCTCTCCCCGGTGTCATTCCCTCCCCTTGCTGGAGATAAACACTATCCTGACTCCTGTGCACGTCTGGATGCTTTTCTAAGACAATGCTAGGCAAGGTGAAGTGTGCCAAGGCTGCAGTAAGGTTAGAGGTCACCACTTGGGTCCTCCACAGCACTCAGTGCCAGCACAGAGCTGCCAGGCCCAACTGCAACATGATGTTGCGTTCTTTGAGGACTTGGAGAGACACTGGCTCTTTAGAGTGCCTACCCTCCCACACGGAATTCCACACAAGTTGAAATACACTTCAGATTTAGTATCATGGTATTCTCACAAATATTTAGGAAACAGAATAGGTCAAATTTCTCACCATAACAGGCTTGTTGACAATCCCTCAAAGAAGCAAGACCATGACACTAATGTAACTTGGGAACTTAAGGAGGTCGTTCCAGTTCCCATATGTGTTTTTCACTAAACTAGTGCAATGCATTCTGAGCCGATTCTGATCAATGGCTTAGTCATGCTGTACAGAAAAAAAGACCTTAGAATTTGACGCAAAGAATCAAAGATCCAATTGCCCTTGTAAAGAACACCTGAAATAGTATTATCTCAACTTTTTTGTTCTCACATTTTTTTAAAACATTATTTTTTTTGGACGGGCATGGTGGCCCACACCTGTAATCCCAGCCCTTTGGAAGGCCAAGGCAGGTGGATCACAAGGTCAGGAGTTCGAGACCAGCCTGGCCAATATGGTGAAACCCCATCTCTACTAAAAAGACAAAAATTAGCCAGGCGTGATGAAGCCCGCCTGTAGTCCCAGCTACTCCGGAGGCCGAGGCAGAAGAATCGCTTGAACCTGGGAGGCGGAGGTTGCAGTGAGCCGAGATCTCCCCGCTTTTGGCACTCCAGCCTGGGTGAGGCTCCATCTCAAAAAAAATAACAAAAAAAAAAAAAAAAATTTTTTTTTGTAAGCATTCCTTTTCAAACGCTTAATACGTAAATTCTTAAAACAACAGGCAGCAATAATCCTAGTACAAATATGACTAGAAATGACCTACATATGTTAAGTTATAAAACCATCCACTCCATCACGCATATATTTTACTTTTTTAGCGCTTTATTTTAATTTTCTTAAGGAAAAGGGCGCACCGAATTTTACCCGGAAAGCGCATCCCAGGACGGGGGCTGCTTCAAGTTTAGTCGGAGCAACGCCAGCCTAGGTGACCAGGGTCGCCTGAAACGTTTCGCATCTGGTTACTGAAAAAAAGGGGGTCGCCAAAGAGGCGGGGTGGAGTCGGCTCTCGGCAGGGACCGGGCCCCCAGCCGCCCGCGAGGATGACAGGCGCGTCCTCTCAGGGCGGTGCCGCGAGAGGCGGGGGCGGAAGGAAGAGGAGGAATCGGACAAAGCCAGCCCCGCCGGCCGCCCGCCCGCCCGCCCGCCTCGATCCCGGGGGCGGTCACCTCCCCCGTCGCGGGCTCCCGGGGTCCGCAGCTGTCCCCGGGAACGGCCACCGCCGCCCGCAGCAGGGCCGAGCCGGGGATGCGGAGCCGGGGATGCGGGGCCGGGGCGGGGCCGTGGTGGGGCCGGGTACCGGAACCTGCAGTGGGACGCGAACGGGGAGGACGCGCGGCGCCGGGAGCCGGGGCTGGGAAAGGGGCCGGGGACGCGAAGCCAACCTGCACCTGCGAGGGGCCGCGGACCAGCAGGGGTGGGGACCTGGAGCGCAACCGGGGGTGGGAACCGACGGGGGCCGGGACCCGGGACCCAAAGCCGGGCGGGGACAGGGCAGAGGATGAGCAGGGGGCCGCGGCCCGGGGCGCACGCCGGGGACTCACCGTCCAGCTCCTGAGGGCCGCGCTCTCTCGCGCTGTCAGCACCAGGAGCGCCGCCGGGCGCGTGCGCGGAGCAGCAACTGCGCGCCGAGCCGGCCTCGGCCGCCTGAGGCGCGGAACAGCGGTCGCTAGCGAGGGGCGCCGGCGCAGCCGCCCCGCAGCATCCTCGGCCGCTGTCCTTTCTGTCGCCAAGCGCAGCCCCGCCGACCCAGCCCGTCCCGCTCGACCGCCCGCGCCGCTCCCGCCGCCGAAAATGGCGTCTCAGTCTCGCTCCCGCGGTGCCCCGCCTCGCCCTGCCCCACAATGCCGCGCGCCTGCATGACGTCATCGTCCCTCGCGCCGCCCGGGGCCGGGGAAACTGAGGCTGGGTAGCTCCCTGGAGGCGCTCGGCGACCTAGGGACCGGAGGGGCGCGGAAGCTGTTTGGGTGTCAGGTGGGCGGTCAGAGGGAGGAGGGTGATGCTGCAGGACCCCGCGGGCCTCCCGGCTGAAACGCGGGCGAGACGGGGCGCTCGGGGCAGGGCGTGGCACGGGCGGTGGGCCACGAGGCCCGGGTGTCTCTGACGCCGCAGCTGTGGCGGCCGAGCGCTGGAGCGGCTTATTCTCCCGACCGGAATGCGGCCGGGGAAGGTGCAGGCCCGGCCGCTGCCGCCACCGCTGGGCCCCCGCCCCGCTCCACTCCCAGGCCCGCGAGCTTCGTGCGCTCATTTCGGTCCCCCGAGAACCCCACTAGGAGGCCTTCGGGAGCCCCCCGACAGCCTTTGGTCGAGATCCTGACCCCTAACCCCGCGCCCTCCCCGTGTCATTGTTCCCCCCTCTCGGGGCTTCTGGACCCTCGAATCAGGGAGACTTTCCCCGGCGCTCCTGCTGGACACAAAGTGCACCTCGGGCGGGCTCAGGGGAAGGGCCGGGGTGCAGGCTGTGAGGATGGGAGACGCCCACCCCCTGTCCCCACGCAGCCACCGGCGCATGGCCCTGGCCGCAGGGACTCGACCTCCAGCCTAGCCTGAAGGGCAGCGGAGCGCGCCTGGGTCGGGTCCTGCGGTTCCGCCGGCTCCGCAGGCCTGACTCAGCAGCCAGCCGGGAGGACCTGCTGATTCCGTGGGCGAGGCTCCGCGCGCTGCCGCCAGCGGCTGGAGAAAAACCCTCCCGGTGCGCAGACGTCCCAAGTGCGGGGCCCGGAGGCGTCATTTAACCTGCAAGGGTTCCTGGGCCAGTTCCCCAACCCCATCGACTGCTGTTCCTTTCCGATGTTCTCTCCCAGCGCCAGCAGCCCTGTGTGAACCCTGAGAAACGGAGCTCTGGTTATTTTGATCTCGTTTATGAAGACGAAGGTGGGCTACACGCGGGGAGCTCCTAGCGTAACACAGCGGTTAGGGTTGGGCCCAGCGAGAGGTAGTGAGTCAGGGTCAAAGAGACCCCCTCCCCACACCACTTTCAGGGTCACGATTTCAGCCAGACTGCAGCTTGGGTGTCATCAAGCTCAGCCACTAGGCCGGACACCGCCGAGCATCCCGTGCTGATTCTGTTCCTCTGGGCCCAGGAACTGTCCCCTCTGCTCACCCACAACCCTTGCCAGAAAACTGGGATGCCTGCTCCCCTCCCTCATTCCCTACTACAACAGCTGAGATTCTACTTCCTCAACATTTCTTCGTTTGAGTTAGGGTATCTTTGTCACCCAGGCTGTCACAGTGGCAATCACTGTAACCTCAAACTCCTGGGCTCAAGAGATCCTCTTGCGTCCGCTTTCCAAGTAGCTAGGGACTACAAATAGCCAGAGCGCCCCGCCCCGCCCCGCGTTCCAGCCGGCCGGGCGGGGTGTGACCGCCCACCCGATACCCAAACAGCTACTCTGCTCCTCCAGCCCCCAGCTCACCAACAGCCAGGGACTACAGGTGTGCACCACCACCTCAGCTAGTGGTTTTTTTTAATTTTTTGCAGAGAGTCGATCTTGCTATGTTGCCTAGACTGGTCTCGAACTCCTCGCCACAAGCTATCCTCCCACCTGGCTTCCCAAAGTGCCGAGATTACAGGTGTGAGCCACTATGCCCAGCCTCTCAATGATCTCGGCTGCCACCACTTTGCCCTTGTTCCTTTACTTTCTCAGCAAATACTCACTGCTCTCCCATGATCCTCGTGATGAGAGCCAAGGATGCATAGGTGAGCGAGTTACATAGGATCTCTGCTCTCTAAGAGTTTACGTTCCAGTGAGGAGAAGTATGCCATAAACACATAAGGAAATATCGGATCTTGCAGAGATGATGGAACAGGCAGAGGCTCTGTGATCAGGGGTGAACTCAGAGGCAGGTGGGTGAGCAGAGACCCAGATGAGAGGAAGGAGGCAGGCATTCAAAGCCCTAGGAGAGGCCAGGCACAGTGGCCCACTCCTGTAATCCCAACACTTTGGGAGGCTGAGGCAGGTGGATTGCCTGACCTCAGGAGTTCAAGACCAACCTGGGCAACATGGCAAAACCATATCTCTACTAAGATACAAAAAGTTAGCTGGGTGTGGTGGCAGACACCTGTAGTCTCAACTACTCAGGAGGCTGAGGCAGGAGAATCGCTTGAACCCAGGAGGCAGAGGTTGCAGTGAAACACGATGGCACTCTGCTGCACTCAAGCCTGGGCAACAGAGCCAGATTCTGTCTCAAAATTTTTTAAAAGCCCCAGGAGAGCTCTGTGGGCAGGAGTTCTCAGGCAGAAGGAACTGGAGCGATGGGGAAATGAGAAAAGGCTGGTTCATCCACCACATCTACCAGTACTGCCATGCGCCACTCTCTGCAGCAAATTCCAACTCCTTGGCTTGGTTGACAAGGCCCCCAGGGCCTGGTGCTGCCAACCTCCCGGTCTCCTGTCCTCTGAACACCCTTAGCCGTCCCTGAGTTCACCCTGGTCTCACATAGCCACACCCTGTAAGATAGTATTCACTCTGCCTAGAATGTTCTTCCTCCCCTTTGTCCCCCAGTCCTCCAGGATATAGCTAATCCTTCCTGGGGGAAGCCTTTTCTCACAGCACCTGCCTGGGTCAAGGCCTCCTCTGAGCACCTATCTGTTCCCCAATGTGCACTGTGTGGTCAGTTTCCATAGCTGCTGTGAGCGGAGGACAGGAGGGGCTGGTGTCCTCGTCCCCACAGCACCTGACATGCTGCAAGGGCCCCCCTGAAGCAGGCATGAGAGGAGGGCTGGGCTGCTCCTTCTCCAGGCTTCTTTTGCACAGAGCTGCTCCTCTTGCTCCCCTTTCAAGGGGATTCTCATCAAGTCCCCTTAAGTCCCTGAGCTCTGCCATGATCCTCAGGAGTTCCTGTCAGTCCTTGGAGCTCTTAGCAGCTGGGGTTGGGCTCCTAAGGTGCCACCTGGGATCAAAAGACATGGACAGCCTGGGTAACATAGTGAGACCCTGACTCTACAAAAGAATTAAAAAATTAGCCAGGTATAGTGCTACAGCCTTATAGTCTCAGCTACTCAGAAGGCTGAACTGATGGGGGAGGATCACTTGAGCTCAGGAGGTCAAGGCTGCAATGAGCTATGACAGTGCCATTGCACTCCAGCCTGGGCAACAGAGTGAGACCCTGTCTCAAAAAAAAAGTGAGGGGGGGAACCACACACCTCCTGCCATTTGCCAGGCCCCTGGGACATCAGAGACAAGGATGGAACCTACGGCTAAAGTGCAGTGGTGCAATCTTGGCTCACCGAAACCTCCACCTCCCAGGTTCTAGAGATTCCCCTCAGCCTTCCCAGTACCTGGGATTACAGATGTGTGCCACCACGCCCGGCTAATTTTGTATTTTTATCAGAGGGGGGGAGTCTCTCCATGTTGGTCAGGCTGGTCTCGAACTCCCCACCTGCAGTGATCCACCTGCCTCAGCTTCCCAAAGTGCTGGGATTATAGGTGTGAGCTACCACACCCGGCCTAGTGTTTCATATTCATGTCACTCTCAGTATTTACTGACAACTGCTAGTACCAGGTGCCCTGGACTGGTGAGCTGACGGCCAGCAGGAGCTGAGATAGGAGGCCTGAAGATGTTCGGGGTGGTGGGGGGGTCGGGGAGCGCCTGTGTCCCTTGAGGATCCAGGAGATGGGGGAGAAAGACACTCACGTGGCAGGTGGGAAGGCTGCAGCAGGTGGAGGAGCCACAGAAAGGAAAGTGCAGTGCCCACATGGAACAAACCACACAGTCCCATTTGTCTCAAGTGGAGAATGGAACAGGAAGTGGTTATGTTTTAAACTGTTCATCTTTTTGCTGTAGATGTTTGTTGATGTCTGTCTTTTCGAGCAGCCTTTTGGAAGAGATAAGAAGGCAGGCCCTTTGGTCCTGGAGGGTCTGCAATCTGGTGGGCAGCCCTGTCTGTGAGTGCCTGAAGAAGGAAGGGAGGAAGGGGGTGAGGAAAGAGGGATAGAAGAGGGACAGGGTGGAGGTAGCCTGAAGCTTGTCCCTGGCTGGGCAGCTGTACTCGGGTGCCTGTCCTCCAGCTGAGAGGGGTGACCCTGGCCCGGAGAGGAGGGATGGGAGCAAGTGAAGCATAGGCCATGGAAAGAGCAGGTTGGCCGACTCCCCGCTGCCTTCTCACCCTCCTCATCAGGAAGAGTCGCCGAGTCGCCGGATGGGCCTGCTGGGCTAGGGAGGGGCTGCCTGGCATCCGGACCTGGCTAATCTGGGATCTGGCCTGCCTTGCTCTCAGCTGAAGTCACACCCTCTCTGGTCTCAGACTTCAATTCTAAAAATGGAATTCCTCCAATTTCCAGTGTTTTGTTTTTTTTCTTTAAAGAGCTGGGGCTGCCCAGGACAGAGCTCCAGGGACCACTTCTTTCAGAACTGCAGGGAAAGGCATGCTCATGATTGGAAAGAGGTGGGGTGGGCGCCCTGCCAGGAAGCCACCTCTCAGTCTGTCTCTGTTGCTCACACGCACCCCACTCCCACAGGGCAGCCCAGGGTACCCTGAGAGAACAGAGCCTGGGGTTCTCCCAGGCCCAGCACGCCACATTGACTGCTCAGCAACACTGTCCCCCATGCCTGGAATCCTGTCTCAGCAAGCCCTGGTTGTGGTAGCTGGTCTCCTCAATGGCCTGGTGGCCCAGACCCCCAACATTTGTGTCCTGTTTCCTGGTACAGCTGGAGGGAGGCTGCGCCAGTGCCAGACTAAGCC